TATATAAGTTTGATACAAGAGTTAACTTATATAAAGTTATTGAGTGACACAACTTTTTATTTATATCAAATATTCAATAGATATGTAATTCTCTATAAAAATGAAACTTGTAATCTTAAAAATAAAACAAGCTACTTGTAATTAATTTTTCTCAACATCTTTTTTCCCCTAATACTTTACTTTTCCGGTTAAAGTAATAGGTCCCCCATAAATTTGGAACGTGAGAGATTTCCTCAATAGTTGTCGATGGAACAAATAGACTTTTACTTCAATTAAATTTATGTGTCTGATGAGATGTTTAATTCTTTAGACATGGAAATACAATTCCCTTGTCAAACTTCTAGATATGGCCGGTCGGACCTCTATTCTCAATTCATAATTCAAAAAATAAGGAAATAATCAAGTATATAATTATGGCGAATAGTGATGAAAAATTAGTACATTGTCATTTGGTACTTTAAGATCTAAGGATGGTTTTTGGGACCAAAAGAGATGAGCAAGTTCATGATATACAATAACAATAACAGATCCAGTATAATCCCACAAGGGATCTGGGAGGGTAGTATGTATGCAGACATTACCCTTACCTTCAAGAAGGCAGAGAGACTGTTTTCGGAAGACCCTCGATTTAAGAAAAGATAAAAGAAAGGGAAGCAGCAAGTTCATGTTATAAATATAGTTTTATTTTTTTATAAAGCACTAGAGACGGAGACTAGTTTACATCACCAAGAATTAATAAAGCACTCAGGTAAAGAACATGCATCACCACGCATACAGCCAACTTATCAAATAGTATATTTGAATAGTTCAACCACTAGAACCCCATTTGGTTCAAATCATAGATTGATAGCTTATGATCATAGGATACTTCAGATAAATCTCCAACATCTCCTAGAAATATTTCTGATCTCCTTTTGACTTCTCACTTCATTAATCCAATGCAACACAGCTGTTACAATCCTTAATCTGAGAGAGGAAGAGAAAGAAGGACGATTTCCACGAGGTGAAAATTTTTCATTAACTATTTTACACAGCTTGCAGATACAACTTGAGCTTCGCTATATGCATAGAAATTATCCAACTGCTATTCAGTTGCTGACTTTCTAACAGATTTTCTTCAAAACTCTCTAGCTGCATCTTATCTCAACTTTGCTCACTTCAACTGTTTGAATTAGCACGAACCACCTTACTCCAGCTTACCCCGAGAATACAACATTGCATTTGCTGCGACCATACTTGGTGTACAATCAGAAAGTGGAACACTCATCCCCCCCTGGATTGAGCAACTAATGTTCATCTCTGGAGGTCTTAGCAGCTCAAAAACCTTTTCAGCTGCAATAATTTGTTTTTCTCGAAAGTTGTCATCAACTATTAAATCCCTGTGATTTCAAGATTCCAAGTCATATTTAAGCCATTTTAAAGATTTACAGCATGTACTCTTACACAAACAGAGGCAGACTCTCTATTGTTCATTTTTTTAAAAATCATTCTATTTTTTTGGATGGTTCGTCATAAAAATCTGTTGTTCCTTTTTTATGATTGGTTTGGTTTACTTTTGCCAACCAGAAAACAACAAAACTACAAGGTAGAAAAAAGTATAGTCCAGCTCATGCATTTCCCAGGATTATATTGTCTAAGACAGGTCACTTTACACGTCATTGAAGTTTAATTTAAGAAGCTTCAGTTAGGGTGGGAAACCAAAAAGGAACAAGGATCACTTAGTTGAAGCTTACTTGAGTAATGATGCCAATTTTGACGGAGTGCAATCTTGAAATAGAGCTTCAGGGATTACAGCTGAATCCAAAAGAATATTAGGAAGAGAGATGTATGGTATAATAGCTTTGTATCGTATAAATAATTCTGTCAGGAGATGGGCTCGATACGCAACAACACATGGCAGTCTTGCAAGCTGCATTTCCATCGCAACTGTACCAGAAGTGCATAGTGCTACACTGCTTGCCTGCATAATGCAGAAACACAGTTCATGTTACCACCTACACCTTGAAACATGATGCAATTCAATATATTCATGAGCATGAGACAAAAGGAAGGGAAAGAGAAAGGACAGTCATACAACATCAAGTCATCAACCCAGGAATTATTTCCATGTTGATTTAGTCATTCATACTTTCATAGGATATGTTATTTCTTTACGGGAAAGATGATTAAACAGCAGAAAAATTGAGGACCATAGGCTATGTATATCCCCTTCAATAATTACAAAAAATGCACTAAAGTTTCATTTTGTGATAAAAAATTAGATAAAAAGGAAAAACAAATTATAGTGACAAAGTGCCAAGCACACAATTCACACAGAATCCAATACCAACAACTATATTTAGGAAAGTCTAGTTGGATAAGACACAATATTGTCTGAAACAGATCTTGGAGTTACTGCTGGCACTTAAAAACATACCTATAGCTTGCCTAGTATCAAATCCACATAACAACGGTTTGAATAACAGGGAAAAAAATGAAACAATTTGAAGAAAAAAAACTCGTAACAAGCACAAAGTACCTTCCACTTTCACTTGTTCTGGAGTTATATAAATATTTTTATTTGTTCTGGATTAATAAATAACTTCAGCAATCTGCCAGGAGCTTAGAAGATATATTATCTATATATCAAGAACAAAACTAGAACTAGAAAACATGCTAGCCAATTGGCCAGCCTTTAGTAGCAAAGACTAGGTCTTCATCCTTGGAATTGAGATCCCCCAGATCCAAACCAAGCGGCTGGCTCTTTCCTACTCACAGTGTATCATATTCTCAGCGATAAAGGGCAGCCCGGTGCACTAAGCTCCCGCTATGCGTGGGGTACGGGGAAGAGCCGGATCACAAGGGTCTATTGTACGCAGCCTTACCCTGCATTTTTGCAAGAGGCTGTTTCCATAGCTTGAACCCGTCATATTCTTAGCATTGTGAGGAACAATTAAATGCAAAGATAATAGATGCTAGTTTTCCATCGCAAGGCATATTCATTGAGGTATGTACCTTAATAATGCCACCAAGGGACTTGCCCCATTTCCAATTCATTGAGTCATTTCGACCATAGTATGTCCCAAAATAGTTAATTCTTCTAGAAAAATGAGCATTAAAACCTTTTTCTAAGCCCCAAAAGTTCATATACGGAACATGAAGCATAACTCTAGTCCCAGCTACTTCACTATAAAATGTAAAGATACAAGACTCAAGGCCTTACACTAAATGAATTGTATTTCATCTGGTGTGATCCTCCAGGAACCAATACAACTGATGATGGCCACTTACAAACAGCTTTACTAATGTAGTCTTCGACATGTTGATTAGGTGCCACATGAACTGCTGTTACCACGTCTGGAAAAGAACCTTTTAATTGTTGCAAAGTTCTTGAGAATATGGGGAACATTCGAGTAACCTCCTGTAATCTACTTCCGGGAAGCAAGGAAATGACTGGGGATCCTACAAATTAAACTAACAAACACAATTAGAAAGTTGGCAAGGAAAAATGAAGTTAATAGATTAGCACAGCCAACCGATGAAAAGGAAATCAACATCCTTTTTTCAGTAAGCCACTAAGAAGGATACACGGAGATTTTGACAGATAAGAAAAAAATACAGAGAACAAGGTCTTGCACTATTAAATAAATGACAAATTACAGCAAAAAAAGTTTTGACGGATAAGTAGAAAATAGAGAAAAAGTTTTTGACATGTTAAACACCATAGTACTTTCAACACGGGTGTGAAACTTGGCAACACTATACACAAATATAATCTATTATGATACATCATATACTTTCTAGCAACAATATGCCACAAGCTAACATACCTGATGATATTCCATAATCAGTTAGAAATGCTTCGGCATTTCCTTGAATTCTGTATCTTCTTTCTGTGGCATCCTTCCCCTAAAATTTGAATATTAAACTACATTACGCCATTACACTACATAAAATTACAAATTCATTGTTGCATTGGTAGAATAACTTTATTCCCTCCTTGTTCATATTTCTTAGCATTTCTCTTCTCTTTGTTCCCCTAGTGGGATTCACCAGTGTATAAACATGATTAATTAGGTGAGTTGTTAATTGACAAGACAAGAAAATCGCAATTTCAAAAGCTAAAAACCATATATTAACGTGACGACGGCATCATCAAGGAATCGCTCTATCACACCAGGAAATTGCACTGCAATTCTAGTGGATAGTTTCTTGACAGGAAAAAAATGCTATCACTCAGTGAAATCATACACCTAGCAAAATGGTTTCTTGGAAAGAAAGAATATCTGCATGCTCGAAAGCTAAAAAGCCAGACACTGGTATAAGAAGGCATTACCTGAATGATGAAGAAAGCATCACCACATCTTTAGTGGTTACTACGGCTTGTCATGTACCAAATGTAGAATAAAACACAGATCAAAATACTGATTTACCTGGAAATCCGAAATATCTTCGAGGGTGGGATGACCAACAAAGGTTGCTGCTAGGCCGTTTGATCTACAGACTTCTGCTTCAAAAGGAAGAATGCATAACACATGATCCACAAACTGAAGAAGTCCTTTTAGTCTTGCTTCACCACCTTTCCAAGCCCAAAATGACGGTGATACATAATGGAAGTGCAAAGGGCTAACCATCCCCTGTTGAACACAGGTAGCTGAAAAAAGTTTTTCCCAGTGCACAAGGAATACGCGAGAAATCTCTTTCGAACTCACAAAAGCTACAGAGCATTACCCCTCAAATGCTTTAAGAAACGGAAGGAGAATCCTTTAGAGTCTACAGTGAGTACGATATGAGGCCTAAAAGAAAGAGCAGCTTCTATAGTTTGTTTCAGCCTAACCTGCCATTTCAAATTTCAAATAAGGTCCAAATTTCATGCATGAATAATTACTATTTTTTACTTGGAAAAACTATAACTTGATTTTTAGTAGCAGAAAATTCAGAATTATTCATACTCTAAATTGATTAAGATATGGCAGCAACTCCCAAATTCCCATTACTGCAATATCCTCCATTGGAAACAGAGAATTAAACCCTTGGTTACACATCATCTTCCTGATAAACATACACACCACAGAAAGAATAATGATAATTAAAGGGGTTGACAACTTGACTTAATTATAGCTGCTGCAACTTTTGTCTAGTGAAAAGCATATAATAATTTCAAGTTTCCATTGTAACTTTAAAATATTACTAATAATTAGAAAAGGGGGAGGACAGGTTACCCGCCAACACCAGCAAAACGGACAGGTAAAGGAGAAAGCTTTGTTAGAGAATTCATGACACGGGAACCAATTGTATCACCAGAAACCTCGCCAGCAACAATGAAGACCCTGAGTTCTGCATCTTTTGAAGCCAAATCAACTGCACTTTGACTTGAAACTGAGAATGCCCTTCTCATTTGCCATATCAAGTTTAGATTTATTTCAGTACTCGCATTCCAAATTCTTCTAATAATCATATCTTGGTCTCCCTAAAACGAAAATACTAATATACAAAAAAGAAAAATTAGTGAAACCCTTATTTTGGAAAGTATTAAGTAGTAAATGAAATGGGAATTTCGGCAAAGCACTGAACTTATAGTATCTTCTCTTTTTGTCTGGAAAATGGCACAGACTCACTCAACCAGCGCTCACTCTCTTCTTCCCCTTTTTTTCTTTTCAAGGAAGTGGACCAAATGAGCTACACCTCGCATAAATGTAAAAATTGGTCGACTCACCTGTACTCATTTTAAAAATATTTTCTAATTTGTAACTACTAAAACAACTTTAAGTATGTTTCTCTTCATTCTTCCTCGGTTAACCGTAATTTTATAAGATGTTTGTGAATATATTTTAAGATAATTTATAATATTTTACGGTAGGGGCTGTTGTGACACTTTAACTTTTATTATTATTTAGGGTTTTTTTTTTTTTTTCTTAATAGCAAAATGGATTCGTTAGATTTATTGTTGTTCTAATAAATTGATGATTGAAATTTGTTATTGATGATATTTAGAGGTTATGTTTCAAATTTGAGCTCATTTGGAGTAGATTTAGG